ATATACAATTAAAATAGCAGTTAATCTAACAATAAAATAACAATCCAGCAAGTATAGCCACACCATTATAAAATGTCACAGACCCATAATTTATCCAAGGAAAATTATAAAATCACAGCAGCAGGTGCTAATGTACCATTGTAAGGCGATAACCCATTTAAAACCATTAAATTCATCCTAGCAATTAAAATATTGGGGAGAATAAAAAGGTCGTTGCCTGGTGCTGAGAATCATACCAAGAGGGCGCCAGGTGAACTTCTCTGGGGAGCTGGTTCCAAGTCAGGGTGCGACTGCCAAGAAGGCCCATCTCCTTGTAGCCACGCCCCTTATTTCTTGAGGAGGGGGCTCCATAAGAAGGACCTCTGATGATCTAAGGGTGGGCACATTGGGAGAGGAGCTCCTTTAGATACCCTGCCCACAAGCTGTTTAGGGCTTTAAACACAAGTGGTAATGCTTTGGACTGGGATAAGACTTTAACTGGAGATAGCAGAGGACTGGCTTTATATGGTCATATCTGCCAGCCCTCATTAGCAGCCTTGCTGCCTTTTTCTTGACCAACTGAAGTGTCTGGTCTGTCTTCAAGGGAAGAGAGCACTGCAGTAATCGAGGTGAAGGGTTATTGGTGCATGAATGACCATTGCCAGGTTCCGCCTGTTCAGGTATCTGGACATACCTGGACCATATCTCTGACTCTGAAACTCTGCAGATAGTGCCTGGCCATAAGGGTGTAGTCTGGTAAGGTAGAGTGGAACCTGGTTCTCCCTAGAACAGGAGTTCAGAATCTTTTTCCTCCTGAGGGCAGAAATATATTTAGAAGATGTTTGGGGGAGTTCACATTCCAAGGGTGGATAAGCCTAAAGGCAAAATGACTGAGACAAAAAGGTATTTTGAGCTTAAAACTCTTGCTGCCATTAATTAAACCTTAGGTGAGGCATTTCATCATTGTAGAAAAGCTGGGAAACCTCTGTTGCCCAGCGGCTGGGGAGAGGAGTTGGGTCTGATGGAAGAGTCCCTGGCCTGCTGTGCCTCCCCGGAGAGTCATATAAGGTCCCTGTGCCTGAGGTTCTACCCCTGTGCCCCCGAAGGTAGAGGAAAAGTGATTTGGTGCATGGGGATGCAGAGTCTGCCTGTGCATTGTGGCTTCGTGGGTGGAACCTGATGAAGACAAGATTTGAATGAAGCCTAGCCCTTGATTCTCACACCTGAGGTGTAATGCCATCACCCCAAAGAGACTTTGAAGAGGATGAGGGCAGGCCCTGCGTTGGCAGCTGTGTGTGGGCATGCTTGGCTCTTCCTCCCGGGAAAGGGAACAAGGTGGCCTCATCCTTACCATTGTGATTAGGTGGCCCCATGACACAACTGGAAAAAAAATAGTTGGCTGTTATTCATGCAAGGACATTTTTGACTGTGCGGAACTGCCTTCAGTTTGTAACCGCTGATGGGCCAGCATCCTGGGCCTATAGGGTGAATTAAAATCGGGAGAGGTCAGCTTGGGTTACAACAAGAGGGAAATGGCAAGATCTAAGGGACAGTGGCACTATTTCTGTTAGGCTAAGGGCTTTCGGCTTCATTTCTGAAGAGCAGGTCCCATGCTGCATGACAGGCGTATCCTGAGAAGGAGGGGTGTTTGAAAATAATTGGATGGTTGGCAAGGGGGAGCCAAAAGTTGGAAGTTTTTCAATTAATTGGTGTTCTTCCACAGTGAGCTATTTTGGAAACAGTTGACAATAAAGATTAGCATATCGAAATGCATAGCATAGCTTCTGTATTGTAGTTATTTAATACATAAGTCCTACAGAGTGAGGTACAAATTAGTAGGCCAAACTTTTAAAATTTTAAAATAAAGCGAATCCATACTGATCAGTTTAGTGTTGTCCCATTGCAAGGGACTACAGCAGTCTGGCTTAAATTCAGTTCAGAGCAGGTGAGCACCAGAATAGATGGTTCATAGCTGACTTCATCCCCCAAAGAAGCCAGAAGGATTAAAAATGCTGGGGCAGAGCAGTGACGGTGATTCTTTCCCAGCATCCTTCTGTTTTGGCTGCCAGCACTGGTCTAAGATTGCACAAAGTTTCAAATCAAGTGCGTGAGCCAAAGGAGCTCTTTCAGTCTGTGCCATTGATTAGCGCTCTGAATGGTTGCATGCATATGCCAGTGGGAATTTGCCTAGAAAATCCAGCACACTCCTACTTATTTCTAAATGGGGAATTTGTGGAAAATAAGGGGATTAGTTAAAAGAGAAGCAAGGGATCAGAAATGTATTCAGTGGGGGGCAGGGTCAGATCTCTTCAGGAAAGTGATTTTAAAGCCGCTGTAATAGAGTCAAGTAAGATTGGAAAAGGTGCAGCACATGGCCACTGTGGTTAGAATGTCCAAAGTTCTCTTAAAAGTCCAAATAAAGAACAGGACATCATGCAGACTCAAAGAAGCTAAATGAAAGACTGTGATGATGAAGCCAGGACTGACCTCAAGCAGATTTATTTATTTTTCATATACTGCCCAACTGGCAGATGCCCTTGCAGAAGTTTATAATCAGCAACAAAACCCCAAATATTAAAAACCATTTTGATACTTTCATTGTTGTATTATTTTGGTTTTTTATTGCTCAGGGTTTTGTTTATAATTGTAAACTCCTGTGAGGACATCTTTCTGCTGTGATTATCAGTAAAGTTAATGATCCAAGCAACTGATCCTTAGAGGAGATTAGGAGCGTGGCTACCCAAAGAAGGGCTTTCTATGCGGTGGCTCCTCAGTTATGGAATGCGCTTCCCAGAGAGGTTTGCCTGGTGCCAACACTCTATCCCTTTTGGCACCAGGCTAAAAACTCTTTATTTTCCCATTTATTTGATTTAGGTTTTAATGTGGGTTTTATTTTATTGGAATAAATTGGGTGCTGTGCGTTTCATTTTGCGCCACTTTTACTGTAAGACCGTCCCAAGACAGGAGTAATTGGACAGTATATTGAATGAATGATTAAATTCTAAGCTGCTGTGAAGGCATCAGATGGGTCTTCCTGGGGAGGGGACTTCACTTGACCGGGGGCCGCTACAGAGAAGTTCCTTCCCTAGTGGTCACTGATCACACCATTGCAAGCAACTGAACCAAGAGAAGAGCCTCTGAAGATGGTCTTGGCAATTAAGCAGGAAAAGTTACTCCTTCAGGGAGCCACCCTGTGCTGCTGATCTGTGATGTGCATCTTACTAAGACCTTAGCTGAGCAGTCCTGTGCTGTGGGGCAGGAATACTAAAGGCTGACGTCATTAACTTCTGCAAAGCCCTGTTGTGCTCCCGTTGGAAAGGGGCATTTGGCCGGCTTTTCTCGCCCCTGCATTTCCTGGGTTGGTTTTCTTGCTTCCTCCGACTTCCCTGAGATGTGCTTTGTTGTCACGAGAGCCAAATAATCCTCCAGCTTGGGGTAGGGGTGAAGTGCTTCCCAAGCAGGCTGCCCTAGGTGGGATGGAGCCGTCATGGGCTGGGCACTGGCCTCTGAGCAGCTTGTCCCGGGAAGCTGTGATGACAGTCTGCCAGGTCTGAAGAGGTAGCTTTCCATTCTTAGCGCAATTAATGGGCACATGCGCTCATTCTTCCACGGCTGAGCCTTACACTCACTCTGCTCCAATTCCTCTGCTGCGTTCCTTACGTGGAATTGCAGGTTGTAAGCTCCGTGGAGCAGAGACCTCTCTGCTTGTACTTTGTCAAGTGCCGTGCACATTGGTCATGACGTAATGGTCATGGTACAAATTAAAAAAATAAAAACTAGCCCGCTGCGAGACTCTCCAAAGCTGACCTTGTAGACTGCACTGAGTCGCCTTGCGTTCCCAAGGAAACATTGCAGCAGGAAAAGATCTTGTGTTGCTGACACTGTTTCTTCACCATGAAAAGTTTCAGTTGTGTTGCTCTTGCTGGCATTTCTTTCAGCAAGAAATGTCTGTCTGTCCCTCTGTTTTCTTGCAATTTATGGCTGCACTGATACAGATTTGAAAGCTATGCTGTTTGAGAGAGAAACAGCCAAGATAATCATGAGGTCCAGTTGGGAGACTGCTCAGCCTGTACCTAAAGCAACGTCTGCATGTTATTTCTTGATACCCTATGCCCTATTTTTCCCTTTCCTCATTAGTGTCTTGTGAATTAAGTCACTAGATTTTCTCATCTAATTTGATTATTAAAGGCCTCAGACTCTTTTGAAGTCATCACTTTTATTAAATTTCTCATTTGCCCTTTTTCTCTGGGTAGAGACCCAAGCTTTCTCCCCCTTTGTTAAAGCAGAAAAACATTCCATGTAAAACCTAATACTAATTTAACGTTAAATTCAGACTCTTCTCTTACTGCCCTTCATTCCTTGGCTTGCTATGTGCCATCTTTCTGCTAGTTGCAAAGAAAGGACTTAATGTGAGCAGCATTTTCTTGTTGTCTGGAAACTCCACTTGGCCAGTAACTTAGAAATGCTGGTACTGTGCATCTCTTTCTACTCTGTGTCACAGAATGCAGTGTGGACCGGTAGATTCTGAAATGGGCCCAGTGTTGCCTGTAGGTCCAGTTCCATTCCCTGTCACTCCATGAAACCAAAGGCTTCATTCCAGTAATCCGGCAAACAGTGGTTTGGAAGACTGTGACGAAGCCATGCTGCATTTGAATCTTCTCCCTTTTCCCTCCCTCTCTCTTTTCACACATGAGTATTAATTCATGGCTTCCTGATTTAATCAGAGTATTTTTTTCCATTAAGTCTAATCTGGCAGAACATGATGAGAAAAGAAAGAAGTCTGGAAAAGAATTTGCCCAAGCCTCTCAGTCCCCCTAAATGTAGTTCAAGGGGCTATTTAAATAAAGATGGGATATTTGAATGCAGCTGGTCTTTAAATCTCTTTCAGAAAGTGCTCAGGTTTTGATCCCAACAAATTTTGCATTTGTAGGAATTGTATAATCTCCCTGTATCTTCTTGTGGTCCAGAGTTTGGCTAAATTGGCAACTCAGACTGACTTAATTCTTGTGCTGTTTTCATAGGAGGTGTACAGGATCCCAAAGAAAAGTCAAGCAGAAAAAGAGACCAATGGTATGTACTCAAAGTGCCTTTTCAGTTTTGTTAAAGCAGTTTAATAAACAGTTAAAGGTTAAAGGTAAAAGTTTCCCCCATGACATTAAAGTCCAGTCGTGTCTGACTCTAGGGGGCGGTGCTCATCTCCATTTCCTAGCCGAGGGAGCCAGCGTTTGTCCACAGACAGTTTTCGTGGTCATGTGGCCAGCATGACTAAACACCAAGGTGCACAGAACGCTGTTACCTGCCCACCGAAGTGGTACCTTTTCATATACTTGCATTTGCATGCTTTCGAGCTGCAAGGTTGGCAGGAGCTGGGACGGAGCAACGGGAACTCACCCATTGTGCAGATTCGAACCGGCGACCTTTCGATCAACTAGCCCTGCAGCTCAGCAGTTTAAACCACTGTGCCACCCGCAGCCCCTAATTAACAGTTAACACCCCCCCCCCCCAAATCCTGGACAGAGCAATGCTCCCAGTGGAAGACATGGCTATGCTAATACCACCTACCCATTTCTGACAGCTGATCGCGGGCGAGAGACAGCACCTCGAGACCCAGCTGCTACCCCAAAAACCCTGAGCCGGGAGCGAGACCCTGAAAGGCAAAGTCAAAGTAAGGAAAAGAAAAAACGCAGAGATTCATTGTCGCCTCCATCTGCATATGAGCGAGGAACCAAGCGTCCAGATGACAGGTGTGTTCTGCTTTTCTTGAACTTCCTGAGATAATGACTGGGAGAAATTGTCAAGTGATGATATCCAGACAGAGAGAGACTACCAGATCTGGAAATTTCTATAGCCCAGTTGTCAGAATGTCCAAACACAGTTACGAGAAGGACTGAAGCCAAGAAATAGCATTTATTTGTACTACCTAAATTTATAACCACCCTTACTGCCAGAGCCCCAGTGTGGCTGGCAAGAGTAAACATGTTTAAAATCTGCCCAAGCAGCGGATAAAATGAGAGTAAAACTACAAGCAGTCAATAGAAATCAAAAGCCAGCACAAGTTATTGCTAGTTTTCCAGGGAAAGCAAAACCATAAAAACACCCAGAGCTATTAAAAGGGCACAAGTACAGGATGAATATAGTCAAGTACCTGAAAAGGTAACGATGTGGATGCTCTAGTGAACATAATTCAGGGTGGAATCACCATAGCAAAGATACATAAAATATTGCCTAGATACATAAAATATTAAACACTTTGCTGTTGATAAGATGTGACTCTTAGAACCTTTCAGGCAGTCATTCAGCTATCCGCTGTGGAGCACTTAATCCTTTTCAGGTTCAAGACAATATGAGGTGATGGAGTTTGTTCAATAATATTTCAGAAGCTTGTGTTATTAGAGTCTCCTGCAAACACAGAAGGCATAGATTTTTCTTGGTTAATCTGCCCTACGCTTGCGTTCTCCACCTTAGGTTGTCTTGTCATTTGAACTTGGCAGAGCAATTTTAGTCTCACTTGTGAGGTTCTGCTGGCAAGCTGCTCGGCAAGAGTTGCAAAAAAACCCAGTGACAGCTGCCACACCAGTGCCCAAGTGGTACATTGGAACAACATTTATTTATTGTTTCACCGTCCTCTTTTTTGAGCACCAGGAATTGCACAAATGTATATATACACAGATTCATGTCTGCATATTTCCTTTCAGAAAAACGCAGTGATTTGGCAGAATCAAAAAGTTACCACCCTTTTTTGCAAGCAAAGCTTTCCTTTCCTTTGACCGCTCTTTCTAACAACTGCTGGGTATATGCAAAGTAGCAAAATTACCCGCTGCAGGCCATCTTTGTCAGTGTCTGTGGTTGTTGCCTGCTTCACTTTCACAGCAGCTGTTGATCACGACACTGCAAGCAAACTCTGCGCGTATCAGCTATTCAGAGTTGTACAGTTGCACAGCTCTCAAAAAGCAGCAAAACAAATATTGAAACATGCTTACGAAAGTATTCGCACATATTCTGTTCTGTGCAACAAAACCACTGACAGCTCCTCCATTTCAGTGCTTTCACGCATGTGCAAGTGCCCAGGGCTGTCTGATAGGCAAAGCCTTGCCCTGTTAAGGGCCTTGAAGTTTCAGCTGTCAAAGTCAAGTGCAAGGAGCCTTTTTAATACCTTGGAACCAGCGTAAGAAGAACCAACATAAAAGGAATTTGCTTTTAATGTTTCTCAGCAAAATCATGGCAGAGCCCCAAGTTTGTTTGTTTATTTGTTTGTTTGTTTAAAGTTTTTGTATGCCGTCCCCATTGCTACACAGCCTCAGGACGGCTCACAACATAAATGACCATGTGAAGATTTGGATGGAGATTTAGGTATCTGGAGAGACCCTGGGATGATGTTCCTATTTGGGTCGCTGGCTCTCACCCCAACCTATGGGCTCTCAGAGAGGAGGACAATGCACAAGCCACTTTAGTATGCCAGTAGCACATGCTCCCTCAAGGTACGACAATATGATTACCCTGTATTTCCAGTGAGTACAATCTGTGACTCAGGATCAGAGAACAGTGAGTCGCCTAAAGCTACCTGATGAGTTATAGCCAGTCACAATGTTACACCAGCTCTCCTGACTACCCCAAGGAGATAAAAGTGAAAAACAGAATTAATGGAAGCTCTGCAGGAATGCCCTAGCATAGTGTAACTCTGTTTGCTTTTTCCTCAGATATGACACACCAGCCACAGCTTCCAAGAAGAAAGTCCGGATCAAGGACCGGAATAAGCTGTCCACAGAAGAACGCCGGAAGCTCTTTGAGCAGGAGGTGGCCCAGCGCGAGGCCCAGAAGCAGCAGCAGCAGCTGCAGAACCTTGGGATGGCTTCCCCTCTTCCCTATGACTCTCTGGGCTACAATGCCTCTCACCACACCTTCATGGGCTACCCCCCAGGCTACCCCATGCAGTCCTACGTGGATCCCAGCAACCCCAATGCTGGGAAGGTGCTACTCCCCACTCCAAGCATGGACCCCATGTGCTCCCCGGCCGCTTATGAGCACCCTCAGACTCTGGTGGGGCACGCGATCGAACCGACCCTGACTGCCCCTCAGCCCGTGCCTGTGGTTCAGCACGTGGCCACGACCCTGGAGGTGTCGACGCCGCAGTACGTAGCGCAGGGCGACCCCGTGGTCCACCAGGAGCCGAGCGTCACCGTCTTGCCTGTGCCGGCGCCCGGTCCGGTGCAGAGCCAGAGCTACGGAGTCTGGGACTCCAGCCAGCAGCCAGTAGCCGTGCAGCCGCCCTATTCTCCTGCCCAGTCGCAGCCAGCCATATACTACCAAGGACAAGCCTGCCAGACGGTGTACGGAGTAACGTCCCCTTATTCCCAGACCACGCCCCCAATCGTGCAGGTAACGTTCCTCGCCTGGACGCGGTGCAGCAGCCTCCTTGGTGGCTTTCCGGCTTTCCTCCATTCTCTCCTCCCCCCGCCCCCACCCAGCTGTTTCCAGGTATATCTCACATGCCGCTCCTAAGGCTTGCTTAGTGGCCGTAAAAACTCTTAAGCTAAACTCAGCTGGCAGTGCTGGCCTTGCCGATCCGGCCCTGGGGACTCCAGGCAGGCTCCCCGAGAGTTGCTCGGAAGCGGGGTTCAGTGTTCGGAACGAGGCTGTTCACAGTGCGGCGGTGGGAACTCCGTGCTTGGCTTATTGGGGTGGGGGAGGGCAGGTAGGCATTGCCATGGAGGCCTGAGCTTTTCAGAGGAGTGCAGCAGTGGAACCAGTCGCCCAGAGAGGTTGTGGGCAAACAACTAGGAAAGCTAGAAACATTCAAGGTGGAGCCGGACAGTCCACTGGTGTAAATCGGTGTCCTGCACCACCAGGGCGTTGCACCCAGTGGCTTTCCTGGCTCCTTCCCATTCTCCGTCTTGGGTGGGGAGCCTCCTAAGGGGCCTGCGAAATGAGCCCCAAGAAAGCCGCCTTGCCTCCAGACCCGGAGGATGGGGAGGACTCGTCCGCTGGGCAGAGAGAGGAGGGCAGATGTACAGGGGAAGAGACCTGTGGGCAAGCCTGGCATGAGGCTTCCGGCAGTTTGAAGTGCAGCATCTGCCGTCCCCCATGCCCAGGTCAGGGCGTGCTGTGCTAGCCACCCGAAGCAGAAAGTCCCTCGCGCAACTCTGTCAGGGCATTACAAAGCAAAGTTGCTGCTCCTCGGCTGCTCTTCGAATTCGCTGCCTAAGGGCACCTCCGTGCAGCCCACCGGCATCCGGGTTTGGTCCAGTGCAGGTGTGGGCGACTGTGGGAGGCCGTTTTCTTCCCCGGGACCCAGCGCCTTGTGCTGCACAGGACGCCCTGCTTCGGTGCTGTTGCCCCGCTCTGCATGCAGACGGTTCCCATCCAGCCTGCCAGCATCACCCCAAAGGGCAGGGCCAGAGGCTGCCCACAACCCTGGGGAGCTGCCACAGGGTTGGTGGCACTGGGTGGGACGGGCTGTGCGGACGGCAGCGGCCTTTGTGCGCTGTAGTGCTACAGACACCCCTTCTCCCTTGTGCCTCGTGCATTCAGTGGAACCTTGTGTGGCCTCTGGATCTGGGCCGCCCATCCTGGTCTGACGGCCAGCTTTTCAGATTAGAAGCCTTGCTGACTTGATAAACCAGTGCCTTGCAGCTTATTCTTAAACAAGCTGATCAGATGCTGTCTACGGCCAAGAGTTCAGATGAAACGTGTTCTCGGGAACAGGCCATCTCCTCCCCAGAGGTTTTCAGTAGGGTCTTGTCTTCTTCCAGACCCCAGCTGGCTCTACTGTGCCTTGTTGGAGTGGAAGAAGCTGGGATACCACTCAGTGGTCCTGCTCATGCCTTCCAGATGTTTTTGACTGCAGCTGCTGTAAACAGCCAAGATGGCAGTGGTGTTATCGATGGGAGCCCAAGCTGACCTACAGGGAGGCAAATACTCCATCCTGTGCTCGCAGAGTATTCCTGCCTTATACCAGGCAGGCAGAACATCAGAAATGGGGCCCTCCAGGACCCAAACCACAAATAGCTTGATTGTTTCTGGGGTTTTGTGCTGTATTCCCCATTGCTAAATGTTGGAAGTACATCTCCTAGGGCTGAGTTACTAGCAGGAAAAGATTTGTGCTGGCAGAGGTGGGTTCAGTTTTGCCTTCAGGCCTGCCCACCATCAGAAATTTTATTTATTTATTTGATTTCTAACCTTCCTCATTAGCCATGCAACTCCCAGGGCAGGTTACAACAACAGTAAAACTATATAATACAATGTAAAAACAGATCATGATTCCAATAAAACACTAAAACAATAAAATGGTAAAAAAGGCATACCCACTTAACAGAACTAGAGATTTCATAAAAGGCATACCCCATTGTGAAAATGCTAATAATAACAAGCATCCCATCAAAATAAAAAGGTCTTTGCCTGGTGCCAAAAAAGAGTATAAAGAGGGTGCCAGGCGAACCTCTCTGGGAAGCTTATTCCAATGTTGGGGTGCCACTCCCCCAAAAGCCCTTCTTCTAGTTACCACCCCCCTTATTTTGAGGAGGGGACTCCCTCAGAAGGGCCTCAGCTGCAGATCTAAGGTACTGGGAGGTTCGTGTGAGAAGAGGCGCTCCGTTAGATACTCAAGCCCCAGGCCATTTAGGGCTTTAAACACTAGTGTCAGCAGCTTGAATTAAGCCGGAACCTCAATTGGAAGCCCATAAAGCTGGTAGAGGACTGGCTTTATGTCAATGTATCTGCCAGTCCTCCTTCGCAGTCTAGCTGCCCTATTCTGTGGACCATCTTCAGTGAAAGCCCCGTGTAAGCACATTGCAGTAGCCCAGCCTAGAGGTGACCAGTGCATGGCTAATTGTTGCCAGGTCCTGCCTGTCCAGATACAACCGCAACTGATATATCGGCTTCAGCTGATACAAGGTGCTCCTGGCCACCAACTCCACCTGGAATTCCAGGGACAGTTCAGGGTTCAGGAGCACCCCCCCCCCCAAGCTGTGAACCCTGTTCTTTAGGGGGGTGCGACTCCATCCAGGGCAGGCGACTTCTTGCCCATCTGAACCCCCCACCAACAGCATCTTTGTCTTAACCCTCATCCAATACATTGTCGAGGCCAGGCCCCAATTCAGAACGTCCACTGCCACACCTGGGTTCAAAGAAAAAGAAAGACGGAGCTGAGTGTCATCAGCGTACTGATAACAACTCAGCCCACTCCTTGTCGGCCCTTGCCCAGTGGTTTCAGGTAGGTGTTAAAAAGCATGAGGGGCAAAATAGAGCCCTGCTGAACTCCAAGGCAGAAATGCCAGGGTGCAGAGCAGTCCTCCCCCAGCACCATCTTCTGGACATGGCCAGTCAAGTAGGAGCAGAACCACTGCAAAGCAGTGCCCCCTACTCCCAACTCAACCAGCCTATCCAGAATAATACCATGGCCGATGGTGCTGAAAGCTGTTGAGAGGTCCAGGAGAACCAGCAGGGTCACATTCTCCCTTCCTCTCTTCTCGTTCGCATAGGTCATCCCACAGGGCAACCTGTCCGTTCCGAATCTAGGTCTGACTCCTGATTGAAATGGGTCAGTATGATGTTTCAGTCAAGTGTCTGGAGTTGGCCAGCCATCACCCACTTGGACACTTTGGCCAGCAAGTGTCACCAGGGACCATGGTGGTCATCTGCAGGAAAGGTCCAATAATGGCCTCTTTTAATGAGGCCAGGACCACTCCCTCTCTTCAAGAGGCATTTACAGCCTTCAGGACCCGGGACACACCCCTTCCTTCCTTTGGATGACCAGCCATGATGGGCAGGGGTCAAGCATACAGGCAGCAAAGTAGGCTGAACTAGGCCAAGGGCCCTGTCCACACCCTCAGGCCTCAGCAACTGAAATTCATGCAGTGAACTTGGACTCCTCAGCCAAAGGAGTTGCATCAGCCATGGAGCTCAGCTCCTGGCGGATCCGAGTGATTTTACCCTCCGTGCTGTGCGGATTCCTCGCGGCGGGCACTGAGGGTTCCACTGTTTCATTCGCTGGGCCCATTTGTAAAAGCCACTGGACTGCTCGGAACGGCTCTGTTGGATGGCACTGGAAGGGTACAGTGGAGGCAGAAAAGCAGACTTGACTGTGTTCACCTGGGTGCTGCGCGGGTTCCTTCCCAGGGGGATGGTGACAGGGACCCCCACTGAGCATTCATTTTTCCCCGAGGGCAGAAGGCTTTCCTGTGCCGACATCGGTCAGGTATGGAGGGGCTTGCTCACTGACAGATGACCAGGGTGCGCTTGAAGGCAAGGATGGAGGAGCCTCGGATCTTGCCCAGGCCTCGCAGGGAGGTGATGTTCTGTGCTTCGGTTAGAGTCGTGATTCCTGAGTTTATAGCTCCAGGTTTATCAGTCCGTTCACGTTCTCCTGCAGTGTTGCAGCTGAAACCTGAGGGCCAGTCCTTCCCTCCAGTGGGGTTTTAACCTGGGTTGGGTCATCTGCCCCATACGATCCATGCAGACTGATGTTCCTCTCTTGCCCTTTTAACTGGACGTGCCCAGGGTTGAACCAAGGGTTCCTCTTCATGCAAAGCATGTGCTCCACCACTGAGCTGTGGGCTCCTCTCCGGGAGCATAGGTTATCTTTCAGCCCTGCAGCTTGAGAGCTGATAGGGGGAGCTGTTTGCTCTGGGGTGCCCCCAGAGAAGGATAAACGGCCACAGCAAGTCCCTTTCTTTCTCCTGCCTCCGCCTGCACACCCGATATTCCTTCCATATTCTCAGGAAGCCAATTTCCCTTTCAGGGCACTAACTTGACTCGCCTCTCGCTTTTCTTCCAGAGCTATGCACAGCCGAGCCTTCAGTATATCCAGGGGCAGCAGATTTACACCGCTCATCCCCAGGGAGTTGTGGTGCAGCCCACGGCAGCGGTGACCACTATTGTAGCAACGGGGCAGCCCCCACCTATACAGCAGGTGAGCTCCGGGGGTAAGTGCTTGTGTGGCACTGGAGGAAGAGGGGAGGCTGGAAGAGTCTGTGCATCTCACCTGCAAGTGGAGGTGAAGCGAGCTGCTGCGCTGGGTGGGGGCAGCTTGGCGCACTCGGGTAGCGCCTCGCTAGGCTGCACTAGTTAAAAATCTCCTCCCGCTTACACACATGCCAGGGTGAAATCACGCTGCACAAAGGTGTCTGCACCATGTCCGACTGAGTCATGAGGGGGTGGCGGTGATGTTGTCCAAGAAGGAGAGAGGGGCGGAGTGACCGACATGGGTATTTCACAACCGGACGTCATTCACGCAATACTGGAATGAAAAAGCCACCACGTCTGACCCTCGGTGCTATTCCTCTTGTGAGACACGCATACCTCTTGTGTGTGTTTAAAGAGTGATGAGTGTTAGTAGGATTTATTACCAAAAGAAGTAAAACATGCGCCAGCTTTGGCTTGTAACAACCTTTTTGTGGTTCCATGTCTTCCCTTTTTGTGTAGGAAGAGTTTAATTGGTCAGGTGGCCCTGAGTCTGTTTTATAAAACTATGAAAACAGAGTGGGAAGATCATGAGTAACTTGGTTCTCAAATTGCAGTTGACCGCAGTGCAGATATGTCTGGATCTTCGGATGGTTTTTTTTCCCCAGAGAATAAGGTTTTACAAATGTCAAGAGAAGTTACCAAGTCTTCTGAAACATGATACTGACCCAAGACAAAGGCTGATTGTCAAGGGCATACAGGCCTGGCTGAATGGCTTATTCACGTTGCGTTTAGACAATACTCCACATCTTTCCATTTGTGGCAAATTTGGCTGCGATTCAGCCTTGTTCCTACAGAGCGATGCGCTGCATGTTTGTTGTGGTGTGCTTTCCACTTCCAGCCAGAGTTGGTGGTGACCAACAACCTCTTGGACCTGCCCCCACCATCTCCTCCTAAGCCCAAGACCATCGTCCTCCCTCCTAACTGGAAAACCGCCCGAGATCCTGAAGGGAAGATCTACTACTATCACGTGGTCACAAGGTAGAGAACCTCTTTATGTCCTTCATGCTAATATTTCTTTCCTGCTTGAACAGCCCCCAAAAACAATACCTCTCAAAAAGATAAGCAAAACGAAAACTTTAAATGTTTGACTTTTGGAGTAACTATCATTTGTATCAGCGTAACTCTCATTTAGGAATGTCGGGGGCACGTGTGGTTGGTAACTTGGAAGGACGACGGGCCTGCGGCAGGTGGACCTTTCCAGGCCCCTGCCCCCGGGCGCTCCAGTGACGTCCCCAGCTGGGCTCTGCCTGTCCGGAGCACAAGCAGCCTTGTCTTTGGGGCTGGAGCCGGTGCAGCTTCTTGGCAAGGACTGCACACACGTGGCTTGTTCTGTATCAGCCAACGAATGCCTAATTGAGAATACTGGGAGCTGTCACCCTCGTATCTTTTAGTCTCCGTATGTTCACATGTCACATCTCATTTATATTAGAAGCCTGCAGTGTAAGTGTCGCCAGCTCAAAAGAGAGTTGTTTCGTACAGCAGCATCCATGTAACGGCAGCACCTTTATTTATTTATTTATTATTTATTTATTAAAACATTTTTATGCCGCCCCATTCGCCGAAGCCTCGGGGCGGCTTACAACATAGATAAAACAAGTTAAAATCCATATAAAATAATCTTAATTAAAACTCACATTATAAAATAAGCCGCCCTGGCCAGATAAAATTCAATTGTATTTAGCATTTAAAATGTTGCTTAAATAAAAAGGTCTTAGCCTGGCGCCGAAAAACAAATAACGACGGCGCCAGGCGGACCTCTCTGGGGAGCGCATTCCATAACTTAGGCGCCACCGCTGAGAAAGCCCTTCTCCGAGTAGCCACCCTCCTAATTTCTCTCACGGAGGGCTCCCGGAGAAGGGCCTCTCCCGCCGATCTCAGGGGGCGACTGGGCAAATATGGATGTAAGCGCTCCTTCAGGTAACCAGGACCCAAGCCGTTTAGGGCTTTATAGGTCATTACCAACACCTTGAATTGGGCCCGGACTTCAATGGGGAGCCAGTGAAGCTGACGGAGAACTGGTGTCATGTGAACATAACGTCCAGTCCCCGTCAGCAGCCTGGCAGCTCTATTCTGAACCAATTGAAGTATCCGGACCGTCTTCAAGGGTAGCCCCACGTAGAGCGCGTTACAGAAGTCAAGACGGGAAGTCACCAGCGCATGAGTCACTGTTGCAAGGCAGTCGTACTCCAGGTAGGGGCGCAGCTGATGAATCAGCCGAAGCTGGAGGAAAGCGCTCCTCGCCGCTGTTGTCACCTGAGCTTCAAGTGAAAGCTCTGGGTCGAGGAGCACTCCCAAGCTGCGGACCTTGTCCCTAGGAGGGAGTGCAACCCCATTCAGGACAAGGTTCAGGTCACCTTCTCCGAAGCCCGAACCGCCAACCAACAGGACCTCCGTCTTGTCTGGATTGAGCTTCAGTTTATTGGCCCTCATCCAGCCCATTACCTCGGCCAGGCACCGGTTCAGTACAGCCACTGCCTCACCTGGATTGGTGGAAAACGAGAGGTAGAGCTGGGTATCATCAGCATACTGATGGGTCCGCAGCCCACACCTCCTGATGACCTCTCCCAGCGGTTTCATGTAGATATTGAACAGTAAAGGGGACAAAATGGAACCCTGCGGTACCCCATGGCAAAGCTGCCATGGCGCAGAGCCATAGTCCCCCAACACCACCTTCTGGAATCGGTCGTTGAGATAGGAGCGGAACCACCGCAAAGCGGTGCCTCCGACCCCCAATCCCGCCAGCCTATCCAGAAGGATACCATGGTCGATGGTATCGAAAGCCGCTGAGAGGTCCAGGAGAACCAACAGGGACGCACTCCCCCTGTCCTTCTCCCTGCACAGGTCATCGTACAGGGCGACCAAGGCAGATTCAGTACCGTACCCGGGTCTGAAGCCGGACTGAAATGGGTCCAGATAATCAGTTTCATCCAAGAGTGCTTGGAGTTGTCCCGCCACCACTCGCTCTAACACCTTGCCCAGAAACGGGATGTTGGCCACTGGTCTATAGTTAGCGGCCATCCCTGGATCCAGTGACGCCTTCTTCAGGACCGGTCGGACTACCGCCTCCTTTAAAGGAGCAGGCACCCGACCCTCCCTCAGAGAAGCGTTAACCACTTCCAAGATCCAGGTTCCAATCCCGTGCTTGGAATCCTTTATTAACCAAGACGGGCAAGGGTCCAGAAGGTAAGTGGTAGGACGTACTCGTCCAAGCACCTTGTCCACATCATCGGGCCGCAATAACTGAAATTCATCCAATAATAATTCATCCTTTAATAAGAGGCAAATGGCCTTGCAATTCATCTTAACGTTTTGCTTTTGCCCCTTAGGCACTTTGCCTTTTGCCTGCCTTTCCTCTGAATTAATGTCAATTCCTGTTAACCTTGTGTATTAAGAGGAACTGGGTTACGTTACTCCAGGGAGCCATGGGGCGGGGGGCAGTCTTTGCATTGCCCTTGGATTTTTGGAGGCACGGCGGGTCACCATGGGAGGCTGGACTAGGTGGGCCTTTTGTGTTGTTCTGAGGCTTTCCAGATCGCATATGAAGACACATTTCAGTCTTCAAACCTCAGTGTGGTTTCTCTGTCCACGGCGTGTGGTCTTCTTTCTACAGGCAAACCCAGTGGGATCCTCCAAATTGGGACAGTCCGGAAGATGACGCCAGCCTTGAACATGAAGCCGAAATGGACCTTGGAACTCCAACCTATGATGAAAACCCCATGAAGGTGAGTTGTAGCACACCTTTATCTGCTTGGTACTAGCAGCCTAAGAGTGTAGTCTTAGTATGTTTAGAAGAAGAAAAGCTCTGCCTGATGGGCTAGGCAGTGCTGGGTGTTACAGGACCCTTTTCTGTCTGAATATGCATAGGATGCTCCCTAGGTTCTCAGCTCAGACAGACAGGAGAAAAGCGATTTATCTCTGCATTAAAAACAAATACAACTTTTTAAATGGGCCTCAGAGCTGAACTGGCTAAACTTACTACATAACTTCCCAAAGGATGGAAATGAATTGCATCCAACAGTGCTATAATCCTTTGGGTCTCTGCAATCCCAGAATTTGACAAACCAGAATTAGCGCCTAGCTTGTGTTGTGGTTGCAAGCCACAGTTTGTGTTAACCAGGGTTAGTGCAATATGTAATTGGCAAGACATACTTACTGCAACAACCTATTCAGTAAGAACAGTCTTCGCTCCCCTTGCAGTGTCTAACTCTACGTCAAGAGACTGCATTGCTGAGTGGCTTAGGTTTCAGATCTGTCTCAGGCATTTTCACATTCAGACTTACTAGCTAGCTGTTCACTGGTTCCTGGAGGCGGGCCTTACGCTTTTTCAAATTATGGATGTACACTCTGTTGGTTTCCTGTTTTTTCCCTGGGCTCTCTAATGAATGCGTTGCATTGATGGCACAGGGACAGCCGAGGCCAAGTAATGGGGATTCGTTAGCTGGAATCACAGAGCAACACAGAGGACTCGGTTTTTAGGAGTCGTACAAATGGTCTAGTGCTTATGCTGGTGAAACATGAGAAATCCTGAAAGAGGTAGAATTCATTCTGGCCCCCTTTCCCCCCTGTTGCCGCAGAATATAGAGCGTTAGGGTGTTGGGGTGCATGTATGGGTGATAGAGGCCGAGTGCTGCTGTCCTGTGCGGTCAGGTCCTCTCCCACTTACGATGATGCTGTGAATGGAATCCCCCCAAAATGTGTTGTTTGTCCTTCACAGGCATGTTCAGCTCTTGCAACCTGAAGGTTGTGGCTTCCCTTATGGAATCGATCCATCTTTTATTTTCCTCTGCTTCTTCTGCCTTCAGTTTTCCCTAGCATGATGATCTTTTCCAGTGAGTTTTTGCCTTCTCAGGGCAACAGCCTCTGTTTCCCCATTTCTGCTTCTAGGGAAAGTTCTGGCTTGGTTTGATCTAGGGCCCACTTGTCCCTCTGTCTGTTAGTCCTGCCTATTCACAAAGCACTCTTCCAGCATCGTTTCAGATGCATCCATTTTCTTCCTGCCAGCTTTCTTCATTGTTCAGCTTTTACTCCTTTGGACACCCTAAAACCCCAAGAGACCATTCCATTAAACGAACTTTGTTTAGGGACGGAGGGGCCATCTCTGCTTCTACTTTCGTAGCCCCTTGAAAAAATCCCTTCAAAAAATGTCTCTAGACTCTTAGGAGACCACTAGAGCAGCACCTGTGGTTTCCATCTAGTGGCGCTCAGGCTGTCTTGGCCACATAGGGATCAGATAATCTCGAGCTCTTTTCCAGTTAGTTCTTGGGTTAACACTGTGTTGTTTGAACCCTTAACAACCAGAGTGCCCAAGTGTGGATGTCACAAGAGCAATCTTTGGCTTGGGCGACCTTAGGCTGTAAAATGGGAGTGGCAGTGAGGGGTTCACACTGGCTTCCACTCACGCGTGGCAAACTGTGGGCACGTTGCTTGCTTGTTTAATTACCCTGCTTGTGAGTTCAGATTGTGACTGGGGCACTTGGACCGCCAACATCCCTTAAAAATTGGACTGGCCCCGTATATTGCATGGCTTTTACGTCTGCGCAGTTTAATCATCTTCCTTACCAAAACTAAAGGGAAAATCACATTGCAGGTACATGGCTCATCCGGTAATTCCTTGTTAAGCATCACGGGGGAATATGGAAGGCAGTGGGGAGGGCTCCTCAAATTGTTCCCCTTCCATTAGCCTCTGGCAAAACCTACTTCTGCTGGAGTAGTGCTGGCCACAGAAGTTCCTCCCCTGTAAATTATGCACGTGTGTTCAAATTACCAAGCTCTCACAATTAAGCCTTTTCACCACAGAAGAAAAAAGGGAGTGCCGGCCCTCCCCTCCCACCACCTCTCCTGTCTTAGACTCTCTTGCAGTTACACAAGTACAGTTTGCGTCTCCTTCCCAATGCCGAACAAGCATGATGTAAGGAATCGTTCAGAGGTTTCAAATTATATGCTGGTTTGGGGGGGAGGTGAGATACCAGAGAAGAGCTCTGGTTTGCTGGCTGATCCCTTCTTTGTGTACCCAGGAAATGAGGTAGACAGCTGGAAAAAATTAGTCAATTTTTACTGAGGAGTTAATAGAGTCCCAATGATCCAGTTTCAGTTTTATGTTTCAAGAGCTGGTCTGGCCTTCTGGTAGGGCATTCAATGCGAGGAGGCTAGCATTCCAAGTTGAGCAGAGCGGCAGGCTTTCTGGGTGGGCCCTGGGCACCTCTCTGAGCCTTTGGTCCCCCTCTGTAAAATGAGGGCGGGGAGGAATAATGACTAACCTTCCAGAGTTTCATGGTTGGAAGATAAAGAAAAGCGTTGTCGCCTTTTTTGGGGAGATAAAACATAGGCGGGCCTAACTTTGAAAAAACTTATTTTCTGGAGAAAGTTCTTCCTAAACTGGCAACACATAAACATTTCTTTACTCACAAAATAGCCCCCAAGATCAGAGGTATGAAGAAAAGAAGGGGGGAAACACGTGTTGAAGAATTAAACCAAAATATTGTCAGAGCATTAGAGGAGGCATGCCGTATCAGACCAGCAGTCCATCTAGGTCAGCATTCTGTTAACACAGTGGCAAACCAGCTGCTTAAAAATAGAGAGAAAAACAAAGCAGAAGCGAACGGGCTTTTGGCAGACTTTAGTATGCATTTTGAAACTCATATTTGTACAGTTTGTGTTTGCTAGTTTTAGTGGAAGTCTTTATTCTGGAAAAGCTAAAAGAACGGTGGTTCCAAAACTAGGCAGAAATACTATATAGCGAATATCAGAATGACCTATTGTGTTCCTTAACTGGGATATCAAAATGTTTACAGCAGCATTGACTGCTTGGCTACATCAATTAATTGGATGATAAATATTTATTCGTACCAAGCAGGCTTGTTATCAAATAATTGCACAGCAGATAATAGGGGAAATTCCTAAAGCATCCTGCTATCTTTCTGCTGATAAAGGTTATAGGTCTAATAAGATGGATTTGTTAAATTATGTTTATAGTTCTTAGGTTTTTGAGAACATCATTGAAAGCTGTTAGTGCTCTATTTTATACATCTCATTTGCAAGAATTATTCACTGTAGCACAACTGATTTATTGTTTGCTTATTATATTTATTGGTTGCCCCACAGCAGAAGTTCTCCAGGAAATGAGTAATAAAACATTCTAGACAATTTGTAAAGCATAGCCCAGTCCCATGCAATGAAGCCAGTAGAACTGGCAGTCCTGTGAAGGTAGGAAGGAACAGACTTGCAGCCACAGTCAGATCTTGTTCACAGCCGGGAACCATAACAGTCTTGGAGCGATGAAAGACATTTCATAAGCATAAAAGATGTTGATCTGTTAATGCCAGTACTTCAGGGCGATTCAAAATCGTGTTGAGGGCTGCAGCTTTCTGTGTACAGCTGCTAAACTCTCAGATCAGCCCCTTGGCCCCCTGTTCCCTGCATAGGACATAGGGCGGCTGGCTCAGTGTTTCAAGGGGACTTGAGCGACGCCACTGACTGAGCGGCTTAACTGCTCCCCCCCCCCCGCTGTGTTTTTGTGGTCCTGCATTACGATTCTGCAATTGATTTTTATGTATACATCTGAGATGTTCTACCGGAGCCTTTCCCAGCCTGATGCCCTCCAGATGTGCTGGGGTACAATTCCCAGGATACCCCAGCCTGGATTTTATTTTCGTTCCTCGTGCAGATCTTTACTGGAGCTTCCCGAGGGAATTAAAAGTTTTTAAATTGGTTTTAAAAAGCCTTGCCTACCTCACAGGGTTGTTGTGGGGATAACACGGAGAGGAGGAAGATCATGTGAGCCGCCCTGGGTTCCTTGCAAGAGGAAAAACGGACGGCTGTGCATGTAATGGATGTGTGGTCCTGTTAAGGGAAGGGCGGTGGAGCGACCAGCCTCACGTTGTGTTACACAAAGGCACAGTGGGCTGTGGGGGAAGACCGAACTCCAGGGACTGGGATGGAGCAAGCAGGATGCATAGCATCCCTGTGCGAACACGGCCCTCCTCGGACGAACAGAAACCAGAGCTGCCATTCCTCTTCTCGTATCGTCCGGCTCGGAGAGAGATGATAGAAAGGTTTGTGCCCGCAAATCTCCCAGCTTCACGCAGATCCCATTCTCTGTTCATGCTCAGTGGCTCTTTAAACAGGGACGGTCTCTGTCAGGGACATCCACCTGCAAGGGCGGTACTGCAATGAGGAAGCTGAGCATATGAGACCACAGGACTCTCAGGACTTCTCCCGCTTGGTGCCCTCTGGTTTTCTTCGTGGCTATTATTGTACTAATTGATTCTGGCTTAAGTCTGATCAGCAATTTGGGTGAGCTCCCCTGCCTGTTACTTGAGCACTCACCTAACCACATTTTTCTTCTACCTTAGAAAGGCACAGACAAATTTACAAGCAAAGCTTTCCTGAACTTGCCCTGTTTCCATCCATTATTTTGGACTGCCGGCTCTTTCGGTCTTTTCCTTCCGTGAAACTCTGCAAGCTGCTGTGTTGGGAAGTTCAAATCATACTGCATGTTGGAGGCGATGCGGGGAAAGAGAAACATGCTTACATCTTTGGAAATGCCTGGATTGGATGATGATCTAAATTAATCATCTTCTTAATGTTAAATCCTCTCGTAGTAGTATTATGAGTAATGTTGAATAATATTCAGTATTCTCAATTCCGTCCTGAATAATATTCTCAGCTATTTGGTAAAAAGCCTCCATGGCTAGACAGCATAAAGCAATGCCTTACTCTGCAGTTCTGGCCTTCAGGTGGGTCTTTCTTTGACCAGCTGCAAATTCTTTAAAAGACAAGGGGCCAACTTTGGAGGACTGGGGGAACAGCTCTGGGTCCCCAGAAGCTTTCAGGGGTTGCAGCTGCAAATGAAGTGGCTGCATTTCCACTCACCCCTTTTTCACCCCACTTTGTCTAAGGGACTGTGGGTCCAGGGCAGATGCTGTTAAACTTCCTGGCCGCTGTGTAACTGAGATCTATTTGTGCTAAAAAAGGGAGGAAAGCACAGAACAATGCCCACATTTCACACTCTCTAAAACAAAAACCGACGTTTTCAAAAATAACCCCCATCTGTTTTGCTGTCCTCCTAGTCTTCCAAGAAACCTAAAACAGCAGAAGCAGACACTTCAAGTGAACTGGCGAAGAAGAGCAAGGAAGTGTTCCGAAAGGAGGTGAGGCCTTGTCCAGCCTCTGCGGGGGGCAAGTTCGGCTTCTTTTGTCCTGATGCTGCGCTGTTGATCCAGATGTTGCATATCTTTCCCTGTCTTTTATATTGAAGTGATGTGTCAATTTTGTAATCATCCAGAGAAATAACAAATTAGCACTCTTGCATCATCTAATTATTTGGTCAGAGCAACTTTCCAAGTGAAATCTGGAAGACTTTGGTTAAATCGTTCCAAATCTACTTCTTTTCCTCTCCCCCACCACCCCTTCAAGTCATTCTTCTCTTACTGAATTTGTATGAAATTGGCAGTCGCTTTAACAAGGATCATTTAATATCCTTTTCCGTATTTCTCCAGATGTCTCAGTTCATTGTACAATGCCTGAACCCGTACCGCAAGCCAGACTGCAAAGTTGGGCGGATAACCACAACCGAGGACTTCAAGCACCTCGCGCGCAAGGTACTCTGTGCTGCCACGGGGCCCATGTTCGCAGTAGGAGTGCCCAGTGAAGTCTGCCAGGACTGGGGCTAGAAAATAGTTGTGGGGGGGTCTCAAAAGAGAGGCAAGCGTTTAAAGCCCCCATGTTCTCCTCCAGCTTGTTTTTCTGGTCTAGGCTTTCTTGGGAGAACTGAGGCTTTCTCGCCCCAGCAGTCCCAGCAAGGGGAAAGCTCACGTGTTCCCTCACTCCTGTTCACTCTCTGTAACGTTGTGCCGGGCTCTTCCTGCTGAAAAACATCTCCTTTGCATTGTGTCCGTCTGAGTTTCCCATGGTGGAAAGCTGAACTCTTGGGCAGATGCGTATAGAACATGCGGTCCCCCTGGAGGAAGCGGGCGGTGCTTGGCCTTCCTCTGGGCTGTTACAAGTCTTGCGGAAGCCTCAGGTAGAAATGCAGAAGAGAAGTTGAATTAGGCAGAGGGCAGTAGGGCAGGGAATTCTCTCCAGGGCGTGTAAGCGCAGGCCTGCTGCACACGCCGCAGAGTTCCCTGAAGTCGGACTGCATGCACGGGTCTCACACTGGCGCCCCTTGGGCCTGGCTCTTCCCACTGCTTCCTTTGTTTCGTAATAGTAAGGAAAAGTAGCATCTGAAGGGATTCTGCTAGGGAGTGTGGCGTGCATGAAAGGATGCGTTGCATTCCCATCTCTTGGATTTAGAGGCAGCATCTGATTTGGGCATTGGTGCCTCAGGCTTGGGGACCTTTAATGCCCACCAGTGAGTCAACTCAGGCGTGTCACGGCACAGTTAAGGAAAGCCCGCTGAAGAGCTGGACTTGGCAGTCAGCTGGGAAACTGGAATCCGAAGCTGCAGCCTGAACAGACCATGGTCAGGACTAACCTGCTTTTGGGAAATCACAGTTATGGCCACCGCTGTGCCTCCAGAAGCTGCTGCACCAGGAAACTGCAGCAACTTTATGGAGCCGATGCCGGAAGGGGCATCATAGCACCTCCGAAGCATCGCTCGTTGCCCCAGGATTTGGCTCTCAGACCATGGCTTGGGTTCTAAAGAGCAGTTAGCATAAACCCGCGGCCTGGACAGAAGTCTGAATTAAACCTCAGATCTGAATCTTGTAAAGAACAGCAAGAAAGGCTCCGACTGAGCCATCCTGTACCCTGTGCACAGACTGAGTGACTATTTAGGGCAGTAGGATCGCCGGGGCCGCCAGGTAAGCAGGTTCCAGTCAGGGCCGTTTGCCCCGGAACCCTCTGTGTCACGTCAGCGCACCTGTCAGATTGAACAGAACTTTACTCTCCTTGTCCAGATGGGTAGAATCTGTTAGGTGTCCCTGGCAAAATGAGCCAAATCCCACCCCCAAGGCAGTTTGCAGCTTTGTTAAGAATACAGCGCAGACCTCCAGCCCACTTTCCGTCAAGGAAGACCTTGCTTCATTCAACCTCTCGGCCTCCGCATTTTCCACTGATGAGAGCAGATTGGCCTCATAGAGTTTCTACTTTCCTCCCTTAACGTCGGTGGCATGAGAAGGAGCAACGCTGCCGGAGATCCCGGCAAAGATGGGCTGTGCCTTCTCTCTGCCGCTTCCCTGGCTGCCTCACCACAATCATGTCCTCACACACAGCCCCCTTCCTTGCCTCCGTACTTCCTGGCGATTCGGACCCGCAGGGTGTGGACCGGGCTTCCAGGGGAGGTGGGTGGGGCCCCATCGGCGAGGGTGTTCACGGAAAGATCGGACAAGCCCATGATGGGGACTACATGAGTGGAAGTGGCTGGAGCCGGGGGTCAGGCTAGATGGCCCGGGAGGCCCCTTCTGACTCAGTTTGCTTCTCTGTCCTCAGAGCCCTTAGCCAAGCCTCTGTGTCCTTTTCTTTCTCCTCCAACAGCTCACCCACGGAGTGATGAACAAGGAACTGAAATACTGCAAAACTCCGGAAGACCTGGAGTGCAACGAGAATGTAAAACACAAGACAAAGGAGTATATCAAGAAATACATGCAGAAATTTGGGGCTGTTTACAAACCCAAAGAGGACACTGACCTGGAGTAGCTGCAGCAGGAGAGAGTTTGGGCCCGTTCAGGAGCTGGCTTGCCATGGACGTTTTTAACCTCTGCAAGATCCCTGGCTTTCTGGGGTGCTGCCTGAAGAACCACCTCGCAAATCTTGTGGCAAAGTGGGTTTTAGGAGGCCAGACAGAAACAAAAACTCATTAGCTACACAGCTGTGATCATCAGTACCACACCTTGTTGCGTCTTTCCAGACAAACCCAAAACTTCCAATATGGCGGTGCTGTTTTAGTGCAACAATTTGAGTGCGCATCTTGGCTCCCTGCTCAAGATCTGTATGATATTTTAACGTATATGTGAATATATTGAGGTTTACTTTTTCTTTTTTCCCCCTTTTAGCTCCACATGTGTTGATATCATGGGAACACTTTGTAAGAATAGTTTTGAGAGTTTTTCCTTTTTCCTTTTTCTGTTCTCTGCAAGGTTTAATCTGTTATCATGTAAATATTTGCGAGCAGGCTGCCTCAGGGTTTCTGGCAGACCATGTGCTATGTTGATAAGATTGATTTTACTGCTTAAATCATTTTACTTTATCCAATTTTTACTGAAGTTTTTATGTAAAAGAAAAAATTTAAAAATTAAACAAAATGGCAGCGAAAGAACCAAAATGGCTTTTGAATGTTCATCTGGAACTTGGAGTAAGTAGTATAGTTTTCAAAAGTAGCAGTTTAGGACAGCAAAGAAGAGATTTCTAACTAATCTTTTGCAGATGACATGGTTTCTAGCCCTCTTGGTGCATAGAAGGCCACAGAAGCAAGCCACGTTGAAAATGCTGCGCTAGAACATGGGTGGCCAGATTCCGCACTGTTCTGGGTTGCTCTGTTCTACTTCCAGTGACCTGGGGGTCAGTGCAGCAGCCCGTCAGAAACAGAAAAAAACCAGTCGCCTCCCTGACTAGCACCAGGCAGCGCCTTTCTGCTCAGGCAAAGTCCTGCGTTAAAGTTAAGTACATTGAAAGATCATGCATATCGCATGCAAGCCCAAAGTAAAAAGGCATTCAAGCCTTCCTAACTTAAACCTCACTTAATGAGAAGGAAGGACTTGCTGGAGAAGGCCCTGATGCTGGGAAGGACTGAAGGCAAAGGGAGGAGGGGGCGGCAGAGGGTGAGGGGGCTGGATGGGGTCCCTGGGGTGGTGGGTGTGGGCTTGGGTGGACTCCAGAGGATGGTGGAGGCCAGGAGAGCCTGGAGGAATGTTGCCCATGGGGTCCAAGAATGTTGTCTTGGAATGTTGTCCAAGAGACGGACATGGCTTTGTGGCCAGACAACAACAACTTAACCCTCAAAGATGCTTTCTTCCTTTTCAATGCCAGTGAAAGAATAAGCAAACTGTTCACCACCTCTTCTTTCAACTTGCCAAAAACCAGATGAAATGATGCCGGGAATTAGGTCTGTCTGCCATTTTTTACTTGGGAAATGAAGGACTTCGCACTGCAAGAGGAGGAGGCGTGTGGCAGCGGCGTGGTCTGCAGCTGCTCCGCGTTCGCTTTAGCGGTCGTCATGAACACGGGGAAAGACCACGCAAGGGCTGGGCCCCAGGAGAGCGAGGCCCCCCTCTCCTGGGACACAGTTCTGAGAGACACTGGCTCTCATGGCCAAACCAGGATTGCTGCGGGGCAAGCTGGTTCTCCCAGCGGCACTCCAGTGGGGAGTTAGAAGTAGTGCTGGGGCTCTGCTACTCTGCTCTGCGGGGCTCCCTTCCAAATTCCATCTTTCCTCGCCAGCTCCTGTTTTGCACAGTGCATGTTCTTCAAGGGACTCATTGGGGGAGAAGAATGCAAAAAGGAGCAGTGTCCCTTCCTTCCTTCCGAAGGACACGAGGTAGAGAATGATCTCTCTTAAGCATGGGTCAAAGTTCCTTTAAAGCCCCGGAAATAAGCCTCCCTGGAGAGGTTTTCGAGCCATCGCATTTTTGTGCCAGGAGGTGGAATTCCGTGTGGCTTAGTGCTGGGCTGCGTCTCTGTCATGCCGGCTCAGGGAAGCTGCTTAAAAGAGCTGCCTCCCGCTTGTTGCTCAGGCTACCAAAGGCATGTTGGTATTTCTGTGTCCCCTTCACACCCTGAAGATCCATCCTCCTGAGATGGTTGCTAAGAGTTTAAAAGCACCCCTTGAAAATGCTCTTTGCTCCCTTGCATTGCTCCAGACTTTGGGAACCTTCAGCTGTTTAAAATTACTAGCTTATTGCCTCATGATATTAAAAATGAAAGAGGGAGGAGGGGGCAGGAATTGCTTTAATAACTAACACTTGTGTTCTCCAGTGTGACGCTAGCGAGCAAATGTTTGGGCCTCGGGCAAATGGAAAATCTTTAATCTTTGCAATGTCTCCAGTCTTCTGAGTCACAGGCCTTTCTCCCAGGATATGTCTCTGCTCCCTGGGCCACTAGATTAGACCTTCTTTCAGCTCTGTTTGGGAGACGCTTTCGGCGCTCTCTGATCCTCTGGTCTCATAAAAGACCCAGTTGTGTAAGACCCGAATCATCAAAGGCAATTTCTTCTCGAACCTGATTGAGCATCGGACGCTCTTCTGAGCAGAAGCTCTCCGAAAGCTCTTGACCCGTGCATGTTTTGGACAGGGTGCTGGCCTCATTTGGTCCTGCCTTCCCGTGTCCCCTTTACTCAATCGGCTGCCAATTTGTGTGGCTTCTCCCTGTGCCGCCATTGTGAGAATCCAGACCTTTTCTTCGGCAAAAGCCTCTTGCGTCTCCTAAGCTTCAGCTACTGAAACTCTCCCTGGGCTTCCTTTGTCCCCTGGATGCAGGTTATTCAGCCAGCTTCCTTGGGGACGTGTTGCTTGAGCTATGTGACCCCCCCCTCCCTCAAATGGCTTAGCAGGACTTCCCATTGCTTCCCCCCCCCCCCCAACTCATGCCTAGCATCACTATCCTTCATCCATCATGAGCGTGGGCCACCCCAGTCTTTGGGTTCCTATTTCCCATCCATCATAGCTTTGTCTGTTTCTTTGACTCCCCTTTGTAGGAAAAAGGCAGGATATAAATCGAAAAATAAATATAAATAAATGAACTGCCAAATGTTTCCCTTGTCATCCTGATGCTTAGAAGGGAAGCTACACGGTGCATAACGCTACTTCTTCCTTCCCTCAAACTTTGCTGGAAGATCGGCCTCTTCCATGAGGTCTCTCTCTGCATTGCCAACCGAGAGGAAACCAACCTGTCTAAAAGTTTCTCGGTAATCTCTCTACTCCTGCATCCTTCCATCTTTCCCTTCCATTTGTCTGTCTGCCTTGCCTTTCCCCTCTTGGCTCTTCTTTCTAAGACGCTTCATTTCATAAAGCGCACCTGCACATTGATGGTGTTACATAATTCTCTGTCCTGATTGAGCCAATTCAGGTTCCGTCTGACCCTCCCAAGCATGCTGCACTTCTGAAGCGAGCAAGAACAACTCCAGAGTGAATGACGAAGAGGAGCAGAAGAGTATCCAGAGGCAGGTCCACTCTGCCACTCACCTGCTAGCCAATATTCCTGAGTGAATTCGTTCCGTTGCTTTCTCTTAATGTAAGCAAAAGGTTGCTATTTATTCCTTGGGACAACACTGCAAAACCCAATTTCTAGCCGAGACACTGTGAGGTGCAGCTCCAGTTACATAAATTCTGGAGTGAGAGAAGTTACACATCTCTAACAGACAAAGCTTCTGTCTCTCACCTTCCCCTAATTTGGCTAGTTTATTATAATGAAAACACTTCAAGCTGTTTCACTTCTCTGCTCAGTTGGACTAGATTTCTTGAGTGTCAAAAAGGTGTAGAAAAAATGTGTCATTTTTCACCATTTCATCACAGCATCCTTTTCATGCCTGGTCAACCTCTCGAAACCTAGACTGGTTGTTGAAACCGCTCAAGGGTGGTAAAGCTGAAATCCTTTTGTTCTATTGAAATCCTTATAGGTTGCTCTCCCTAAATAGGAGTTTTGCCTTCGTATCCCTGCTGCCCCAGCTGCTGAGACTGGGATCCATAACCAGGGGAAATGTTCCTGCTTCTCCGGCCATTTCACCGCATTGCGGAGCCGGACCGACCATCTCGGATGCAGGGAATTGGGGAAGACTCCGCAGCGCAGAGAAAGCCGGTCCTTTCCTTAGTGGCAGTTTTGCGTGATGCAAGCAAGCCGTTCCAAAAGAACAGACATGTTGTCTCGGCTTGAAACCGCTCTGGGTCTTGTGCCAATTCCAGCCTAGGATTCCAGCAAACTGCACCTCCCGGCCGGGCGATGCCTGAGCAAGCCTCACGGAGCTGGTTGGGCCCCCGAGGCATCGGTGGCAGCTGACAGAAGCCTTGTCAAGGTCTTGCAAGCCTCCCGCCTTAGCTCCGTGGTTATCCACGTGTAGCTCAGAGGATCGGAGGCCTCGGGGCACACCGTCTCGGGGTCAAACCCTGGCCTCTTCCAGTAGGGCTGGGAAATTCCCCTCGCCGAACCTGCTTCCACTTACACTCAGAGGGCTCAGATCACAAATCCCATCACACCCAGGCGGCGTGGCTGATGGCCCTAGAGCTGGAGTCCTGCCCATGTGAAAGCCGGCAGGCTGGGGGAAGCCAGGGTAGGAACCCTGAGCTAGAGGGATGGCTGATTGGATTGTCCCGGGGAGGTCTTCTCAGTTCCTGACTGACCGCCGACCCTTCCCGCTGAAGCCTCCTCCTCGTCCTCCCGCTCCCCCTTCCCACCCCACCCCAAAACTATTCCTTCAACCCTCTGTCTCAAGCAGTTGCATGACTGACACACAGCGCTTTTCTGCCTGCAATGTGAAACGCAGGCAGCAGGTGGCGCTGCTGAGTCACGCTGGGTGAGGTTCGTGGCCCAGTAACCACCCATACTGGGAAGCGGTATTGCAACTCCACAGGGCAGGAGATGGGAGGTGGAGTCCCACCTGGGAACTGGGGAGCATGGCCTCCTCCCCTTAAGGAGAAGGGCCGGGGTCCCGGCCGAGGGGCGGAGCACAGGCAGTTTGCGCGTGGCGTGGGCTCCAGATGGCCACATGTTTTCCCCTCAGTCCACTTCTCCCTTCCGTCTGGTGCATCTGTTAAGAAAAGTTAGAAAAGCTGTACCTTGCTTTCAAATCGTTTACATTCTCCATCCAGAAGCACACACGGTCAGTGAGATTTGGGGCCGCCTCAGAGAGGGGCAGCTGCCAGTCCCTTCTATGGCGCCACCAAAGCACAGGGCGCTTGACGGGCTATGGAGGCGGATTTCTTTAAAAAGTCACTACACAGCCCGGCCCCACGGTTGCCGCAGCTGCCTGCAGGGCTCCTCGGAAGGAGAGGAGACAAGGAAGGGACCAGCCCAGCCATGGGCCCCATGTCAGTCAAGAGGGACAGCGAGGGGTCACGGGAAGAGTTCGCACGTCATGATGTGGGTTTTCCTGGGGGGCTTCGAGGCAGACACAAATATGGCACCCGCTTTGGAATCATCACGAGCAAACAATGTGAGCATTGTGCCAGAGAAGACGGCAGCGACCCACTTCGTGCTTGCGTGGAGCGGTGTTTCGTGGAAAAGCCAACGCAGAAATAGCGCTTGACCGGAAATGCCGTGCCTCTGACGGAGGCGTGGGAGGCTGCAAGCGGGTGGCCGCTGTCCGGCTGCTAGTGGGCCGTGGATTTGTTTGGT